GTTCGGATTTTTAAGTGTAAACACGCCGAACCAGTTACTGACACCATCTGATTTTCTGCAGTTATCAGATTAAGTGTAAACCAAGTGAACAAGTTACAGACATAATCCGATTTTCTGCAGTTATCAGATTAAGTGTAAACCAAGTGAACAAGTTACAGACATAATCCGATTTTCTGCAGTTATCAGATTAAGTGTAAACCAAGTGAACAAGTTACAGACATAATCCGATTTTCTGCAGTTATCAGATTAAGTGTAAACCAAGTGAACAAGTTACAGACATAATCTGATTTTCTGCAGTTATCAGATTAAGTGTAAACCAAGTGAACAAGTTAGACATAATCTGATTTTCTGCAGTTATCAGATTAAGTGTAAACACACCAACCAGTTACTGACACCATCTGATTTTCTGCAGTTATCAGATTAAGTGTAAACCAAGTGAACAAGTTACAGACATAATCCGATTTTCTGCAGTTATCAGATTAAGTGTAAACCAAGTGAACAAGTTACAGACATAATCCGATTTTCTGCAGTTATCAGATTAAGTGTAAACACACCGAACCAGTTACTGACACAATCTGATTTTCTGCAGTTATCGGATTACTAAGTGTAAACCCGCCAAACCAGTTACTGACAAAATCTGATATTCTGCAGTTATCATTATGTTCACTCATTATCGGATTATTAAGTGTAAACACACTGAACCAGTTACTGACACAATCAGATTTTAAGTGTAAACACGCCAAACCAGTTACTGACATAATCTGATTTTCTGCAGTTATCAGATTACTAAGTGAATGTAAACACACTCAGTGGATCATACAGTGTCAGAAACCACATAATCAAGTCTATTATACTGAACACCTCCACACGCTTTAAGGCGAGAGTGTGATGGTTTAGGCACTATGCTAACTGGTGTACATAAGCATTCATTACGTGTTACATTAGCCTCATAGCTACAGTGCTAAAACTAAAGATGCTAACTTTAGACACCAAACATGTCTGGGCTGATTTACATGTGAGGGGAAAACTGTATGAACTAATTAAAAACAGTTTTATTTGAACGGCGGCTTTGATGTTGATCTATTTTATCTGGTAAATGGTAGATCGTCAGGTCTGGTGTGTGCTAACGCTAGCGTTAACGCTAACGTGGGAGCTCCTCTCGAGCTTCTTGCGTATTGGAGAGCAGCAGAGAAGCTGGCACTCAGCCGGACGCTCGTTTAGACGGGAATGGAGCGATGATGAGTGGTAAACGAGTGTGTGTGGGCTTTCCTTTGTGCTCTCTGCGGTGAGAGCGAGCGGGATCAATGCATGGCGCTGTGCCAAAGACACAGAAAAGTGGCACAGCGATCTCGGTGGGGGGGGATACCCTCGAACTGCCCGCGGGCACGAAGAACAGCTGCCACAGAGAGAGAGAGACGGAGAGAAAGGCAGGGAAAGAAAGGGACATATAGAGGGGAGAGAGAGGGAAAGAAAGAAAGCGAGGAGAGCGAAAAACAGAGAGAGGGAGGCAGGGAGAAAGAGAAAGGGAAAAAAAGAGACAGAGGAGGAGAGAAACAAAAAGAGGTAAAAGGTAGAGAGACAGAGAGAGAGAACGAGAGAAAGAGACAAATAGAGGGGAAAGAGAGGGAAGGAGAGAAGAGAGAAAGAGGTGGGGAGAAAGAGAAAAGAAAAGAGAGAGAGGAAGAGAGAACAAGAGCTAGTGAGAGGATGTAAAAAGAGAGACAGGAGAGAGAGGGAAAAAGAGAGGGAAAGGAAGAAGAAAGGCAGAGAGAGAGAAACAGATAAGGAGAGAGGGGATAGATGAAGGAAAAAGAGGAAAAAAAAGAAAAAGAGATAGAAAAGAAAGAAACAGGAAAGAGAAGAAGAGAGAAAGAACAAAAGCAAGAGAGAGGAAGGGAAAAAAGAGAGGAAAAGAAAGAGATTAAGGGAGAGAGAGAGAGAGAGAGAGAGAGAGAGAGAGAGAGGGATAGAGATAATCTCAGTGTTTTCTCGTTTCTTTCACCCCCCCCCCATCCAGTGAGACAGCTGTGATGTCACTCCTGCGTCTGATTGGCTCCAGCCGTGCACTCAGAGCCTGTAAGACCCTGTTTACACCTGGTCACTTCCTGTGTCCAGTAACTGGATTGTATCCTGATTAGATTTTAGCCACATGCATTTACACTCGGTGGTCAAATGTGTCTCCGGTTAGTCGGACTGAAGTCTGATTGCTGTGTGAGACAGAATATGCAAATCCGCTCGTTACATGGCAACCAGTTACCAACTGTTTATTAAGTCGTCTGTAGTTTGTTCTGCATAGTCGCTTCACCAAACATGAGTCCTCCATGATTCTCTTCCTCACAGACACAAATCATGCGCCCAGTGATGTCCTGCACGGGCAGGAGTTTCTGTTGTACTGGGATGAATTTTGGTTGTACTGCGACAAGTTTTGCTTGTACTGGGAGGGGGTTTCAGATGTACAGGGAGGAGTTTTGGTTGTACTGGGAGGGTTTTGGTTGTGCCGGGAGGGGTTTTGGTTGTACTCTGAGGGTTTTGGTTGTACTGGGAGGAGTTTCAGTTGTACCGAGAGGAGTTTTGGTTGTACTGGGAGGAGTTTTGGTTGTGCTGGGAGGGGTTTCGGTTGTACTCTGAGGGTTTTGGTTGTACCTGAGGAGTTTTGGTTGTGCTGGGAGGGGTTTCGGTTGTACTCTGAGGGTTTTGGTTGTACCTGAGGAGTTTTGGTTGTACTGGGAGGAGTTTTGGTTGTGCTGGGAGGGGTTTTGTTTGTACTCTGAGGGTTTTGGTTGTACTGGGAGGAGTTTGGTTGTACTGGGATTGTTTTGGTTGTACCTGAGGAGTTTTGTTTGTACTAGGAGGAGTTTCAGTTGTACTGAGAGGAGTTTTGGTTGTACTGGAGGAGTTTTGGTTGTACTGGGAGGAGTTTTGGTTGTACTGGGAAGAGTTTCAGTTGTACTGAGAGGAGTTTTGGTTGTTGGATGTGTCTTGGAGAGACGGATGTGTTTAAGCTGCTACAATGTGGCTCAAATGCGTCTCAGTTCACCCCCTGAAGTGGTTTGAGTGATCAGATTTGTGTCTGTTTTACATGCATCTTGGCTGCGTTTACACTTGCATTTTTATGTGGCCTCATCCAGATATAATCCTGATTTAATCCTGTTTCTCCAGATGCATAAAGTGACCAGGTCTAAACAGGGTCTTAGTGACTGAAGGAATCTGCCACTTCTGCAGCCCAACATCCAACCAAACTCAACAGCTGTCGGGTAGAGCATGAAGAAGCCATGATGCTGCAGCAAACGTGCTTTAATATCGCTGATTCCTTCCGACATAGCGAGTGTTTCTGTGATGTCACTAACCAACACATTTACATACATATACGTATATCTGCCTGTTCAGCCTACAGCAGTGTAGCCCCGCCCACACAGCAGTTTAGAGCCCCATCTACTCAGACTACATCAGTTTAGCCCCGCCCACTCAGCCTGCATCAGTTTAGCTCCGCCCATCTACCTGCAGAAGTTTAGCCCCACCCATTCAGCCTACAGCAGTTTAGCCCCGCCCATATAGCCTACACGCTTAAGAAAAGACGGTTCTTCAAGAGTTCTTTGGTATGGGCAAGAATTCTATATAGAACCCTAAACACTCAAATGACCATTTGTGAACCTAAATGGTTCTTTGCATGGTGAAACGGTTCTCACTGATGTAGAATGTGTTGTATATGGTTCTATACAGCACCAAAGAGGGTTCTGCTACTGTTACGATGCCAAGCTTGCAACAATAGAAGAACCCATTTAGTGCTATATGGAACCTTTTCAAAATGTTTCTTTATAGAACCACACATAGAACGCATACATGCATGCACATTCTTCTTTAAGTATTCATGGTTCTACACAGGACCATTGTCTTTACTAAAAACCCTGAAGAACCATCTTTCTAAGAGCGTACAGCAGTTTGTATCTGATAAACTTCATGCCTAAGCCACACAGAGGATTTAGCCCAGGCTGGGTTTTTGAATGAGGCACAAAACAGGACAGCCAATCAGAAGAGAGCTCAGTTACAGCCTTAAAGGCACAGTCTGTTAATTCAGCTGGAAAATGGTGATGTGGAAATGAGTTATGACTGTTTATGGTACAGAAAGCACAACAACTATTATAAGCAGAGCTCCAAAATAGGCAGACGTCACATTTTACAGCTACTGTGAAAACGGCTCAACCGCGTCACGTCTGCCCACTGACTTCTATTATAAGGTGTGTTTTCAGAGCAGCTGATTAGCGAATACAGTTGTTCACAGCTTGTATAATCTCCATAGAAAAGCACTGACCAATAGAATAGACCAGCCGCACATGAGCCTAAGGTCACCAATGCCAAGCGTGGGCTAGAGGGGTATAAAGCCCCCCAGCATTGGGCTGTGGAGCAGTGGAACTGTGTTCTCTGGAGTGATGGAGCTCCATCCAGTACCTTTGGGATGAGTTGGAGTGATCCAGAACTGACCATCCAACATCAGTACCTGACCTCACTAATGCTCAATCAAATCCTCACAGCAATGTTCAACATCTAGTGTAAAGCCTTCCCAGAAGAGTCGAGGCTGTTACTGCAGCACAAACTCACTATTAACACCTTCATTTCGGTAGAAACGCTGAGAACATGCAGTGCAGATGACCACCAACACACGCTCGAGCGCGGTCAAATTTGATCTACGGATCTGGTGCAGGTCTCCGAGGGCAGTTTCAGAGCGCGAGCTCTGCCCTGCTGGACCAGCGGAGCAAATATAACCGCGCAGAAGACAGAAATATAGATACAAATAATAATAAAGATAAAAATAAGGTTGCATGCAGTCTGGCTCGGCAAGGGCACGCGCAAAATCTAAACAAACAAACAAACAAACAAACAACAGCAACAACAAACAAAGCCCGCGTTGCATCAGCTCTGAATGTAACTGCGAGGCAGGCGCGCGCGTTCAAGAAAGGAAAAAAAAGCATATAAAAAGGAAATACACGCGCGCGCGGTCTTACCTGGAACGTGCAGTGAGGTGTTTTGTCTGCAGCGCCGTAAACAAAATCCTGCACGAGCACACAAACACTTCCACGCGCCTACGGTGACGACGCAGTCCAGCCTCGCGCGAATGAGCACGGCTTTATCTCCCCGTCCGCGACCATTTTGCTGCCTGCTGAGTGATGATGCAACCCGCGCGTGAATGCGCGTGAGGGTGTGAGAGCGCGCCTGTGCGTGCGCTGTGTGAGAATGTGTGTGAGTGGAGCTCTCGAGGGGGTGATCCCGCGCGCTGTGTTGCTCAGGTGCGCGCGAAACGCGGTCAGTCAGTGCTCAGTCTGAGTGTGTGTGAGTGTGTGTGTCTGGTCCCTCCCTCTGCTCTGATTCGCGTCTGCTACGCCCCCCTCCTCTCTCTCTCTCTCTCTCTCTCTCTCTCTCTCTCTCTCACACACACACACACACACACCAAGCATTACAACAGTGCTAAAAACAGGAGTTTCCAAAATTACTCACAAAACTCCCAACAACCACCTGGAAGACACCAAAACTGGAGTTCTTAAACACTGTGTCCACTCACTGTCCACTCTATTAGACACTCCTACCTTGTCAGTCCACCTTGTAGATGTAAAGTCAGAGACGATAGCTCATCTGCTGCTGCACAGTTTGTGTTGGTCATCCTCTAGTCCTTCATCAGTGGTCACAGGACGCTGCCCACAGGACGCTGTTGGCTGGATATTTTTGGTTGGTGGACTATTCTCAGTCCAGCAGTGACACTGAGGTGTTTAAAAACTCCAGCAGCACTGCTGTGTCTGATCCACTCAGACCAGCACAACACACACTAACACACCACCACCACGTCAGTGTTACTGCAGTGCTGAGAATGATCCACCACCCACATAGTACCTGCTCTGTGAGGGTCCATGGGGGTCCTGACCACTGAAGAACAGGGTAAAAGGGGGCTAACAAAGTATCAGAGAAACAGATGGACTACAGTCTGTAACTGTAGAACTACAGAGTGAAACTATATGGTCAGTGGAGCTGATCAGATGGACACTGAGTGTAGAAACAAGCAGGTGGACTTAAAGTGCTCAGTGAGTGTGTATATCTATATATAATGTATATGCGTTTAGGTATTTTAAAAGCTGTGCTATTAATCTTATTGTTTTTCCCGTTATTTTACTTTATTATGTATCTACTTGTTGCCTCCATAACATTTTCTAAACCAATAAAGAACAAACATGATTTCCTGTAATGTTATTTTTACTAATCATCTTCACGTTATTATTACATTAATAACACAAGCAAAATCATTACAGTCAGCAGAGCATATTACCGTTTTATTACTCATATAAAGACACATTAAATCACACCTATCCCTTGTGTGATGTTCAGGTCTGTGGGACCCATTTTCAGTGTTTACCAAATGAAAAAATGATGTGATTTATTATTATTTCAGCCTCAGATTTTTGGTCTTTGCTATTTTCTGTGAAGAACATATAAAATAACCCATTTTCAGTGTCTTCACTCTGTTCACCCCCCACACATTTATATTACACATGTGGTGTTGGGTGAACCTGCGGGGGGTAAAAGTGTGGAGGTGCTGTGTCCTTCACTCTGTTCTCCTCCTACATGGCCTTCTGTTAGTGTGTGTGTGTGTGTGTGTGTGTGTGTGTGTATGTGTGTGAGGGTGGACAACATGGACAGGCTGCTGACTGGCTACAGCTGCTAAAGGAGAACCCTACGCTGGACACTTGTGATATTTTAAACATCTGGCATTTTTACATGAATTGTTGTGGCTGTATTGATTTAATAAACAATAATGTGGTGGGTCCAGCAGACCACTGAGTAACAAACACATCAACACCACACAAAGATTAAAGTATACTGCTGAAAAAAACTCTGAAAAACCATTAAAAGGTTCTGTTGGTTCCTGGTGGTGTCCAGTAGTCAGTAATAGTGTTCTGTGTTTTCCTGATTGGTTGATATCACAGTGTGAAGGACTCCAGATGCATTTGATATTTTCCTAATAGGATCTAAAGGTGACCTACAGGTAACCAGTGGTCTCTGATGGTAACTATTAAGCCAAATCCACATACAAAGCAGAAGCATCAGGTTTTAAGCCTAATGGTCCTAATGGACTTTTTCAGCAAGGACGGTCCGGCATGTCAGTGTATATACTGTTTTAACATGAAGGTCAGTTCTGTGTACAGATGCTGTCAGTGTGTGTTTGTGTGTCCTGTAATTTCTAATAGAATAAAGCCGGTCAGTAATTGTGGCTCCATCTTTTGGCCCTGCAGTGACACTACAGTCCACTCACATCTCACACTGCAGTAAAAGGACATCTGGACATCAACGATACAAAGACTCACTGATTTAAAGGAACAGTTCAAAACAAATTAATCCTACAGCAGTTTAGCTCCGCCCATTCACGCTGAAGTTGTGTTACAGCCCTGACTGTTTTATGAGGCACAATGCAGGGCAACCAATCAGAGCAGAGCTCATTTACACATATATCAGGCTTAAAGACACAGTTTAACTCTAAGGGGTAAAGAGAGGTTGGAAAACTGTCATTTAAAAATAATTATGGACTGTTTTTGAATCATAAAACCACATAAATGTTATAAGTGGATCTTTTGCTCTAATAATGAACATCTAAAAGCTGTTCAGAGCCAATTATCTTCACGACTAAAGTTCATGCAGCTAGTTAGTTGTTGTTTATGACGCAGGCGGTTTGTTCATTTGACATGCATGCCGATCATTTTAGGCCTCCGGTTTGTTCATATTAATGACAGATACAAGTCACTTACCCAGGTGAATGTGAACCAAAATATTCAGATCTGAGCAAAAAAATCTGAATTGAGCAACTACAGTGTGAACGAAGCCTGAACTCCACCAATTAGCATGGTGCTAAGTTTATGCTCAAATCATGTCAAAGAGCGTGGAGGTGTTCAGTATCTCTAATAAACTCGATTATTTGGTTTCTGACACTGTATGACTCATTAATCTGATCATTATCAGATATCAGGAGTTATCTGATAGTTAAAGTGGTTGTGTAAACAGCATCCGATAGATCTGATTAAGGCCTAATTGGATAAGAGAGCTGGGTTTGAGCTCAGTAATGAGGTTTTTCAGTGCATGTAGACTCTTACTCTGATTTCTTTCATTTCTCTCAGTCTGAGCATGTGCGAAAACGGAGCGCCGTCCCAGAAACAGTGAGCAGCGTTTAACACAACACCCACGGGACGCAGCACAGCACTTTAAGAGACTCTGAAAAGATTTAATTATTCTTCATCTTCTAGATGATGCATGTTCATATTTTCACGTAAAGTGACTCAATGTCTAAAATGAAAGCTACATGAGTCAGACAGTAATCAGATTTCTGCTTTACAACCAGCCAATAAACTCACAGATGAAGACGTGACGTAAATATAAGAGTCTACATGCACTGAAAAACCTCATTACTGAGCTCAAACCCAGCTCTCTTATCCAATTAGGCCTTAATCAGATCTATCGGCATAAAGTTTTACATTATATTTACGTCACGTCTTCATCTGTGAGTTTATTGGCTGGTTGTAAAGCAGAAATCTGATTACTGTCTGACTCATGTAGACCTGGAGTTTACCCATTATCTGATTACTCAAGAGCATGAAAACACACTGAACCAGTTACTGACACAATCTGATTTTCTGCACTTATCAGATTATTAAGTGTAAACACACTGAACCAGTTACTGATCCAATCTGATTTTCTGCGGTTATCAGATTATTAGGTGTAAACACACTGAACCAGTTACTGACCCAATCAGATTATTAGGTATAAACACACTGAACCAGTTACTGACCCAATCAGATTATTAGGTGTAAACACACTGAACCAGTTACTGACCCAATCAGATTATTAGGTATAAACACACTGAACCAGTTACTGACCCAATCTGATTTTCTGCAGTTATCAGACTATTAAGTGCATGTAAACACACTCACTGTTATCTATATAAAACTAATATCTATATGAACTACAGTGTGTAGCATAGCTAAAAACATTAGCATCCGTCTCATAGTCTGAATTTGTCCAGTTTTTTAGTGAGGTATAACCTTAAATGACCTGTTAGCTACGTTAGCCTCGTAGCTCCAGAGCTAAAACTAAACAGGTAAACTTAAGACACCAAACACGTCTCGTCCACATTTCTGAGCGGCTGAAACTGTGGAAGTGAGAACGGCTGCTCGCTCTCTCTCTCTCTCTCTCTCTCCCTCTCTCTCTCTCCCTCTCCCCTTCACTCCCTCCTCTTCCTCTCAGTAATGATTTAGTGAGGGATGCTGGGTATGAAATAATTATCAGCACTCTGGGTGCTGCAGCGTTTCAGGGCCGTTCTCTCTCTGACAGCAGCTCCGTTCCTCCTGCGGGAAACCAGTTAAACTTTCATGGACCTTCTGGCACAAACTGTTTACACGCTAAACACACGGCCAGCCGGCTCACAGAGGCACTGAGTAAACCTCTGACTCAGAGAACGGTTTCGGCCAGACGTGCTAACGTGGCTAACAGGGACTCAAAGTTAGTAGCCACCTACTGCCACGATGTCATTTGCATAATGCTAATCAATGGCTGTTCACTTTCACTGCTGCTGTAATGTTAATAACGTCAGCTTGATCCTTTAACCAGTTTGCATGGTCCAATTTGCATAATGCTAATTAGGGGCTATTCACTTTCAATAATTTTGCTAGCAACATTAGCCTCTTCTGCTTTGACTCATTTACATGATGCAGTCTGCATTATGCTAATTAGAGGCTGTTTGATTTCACTGTTGCAGTGATTTGATTTCACTGTTTCACTGTTGCTTTATTAGCAAAATTAGCTTTTTCTGACTGAGCTGATCCTTTAATTGGATTGCATGATGTCATTTGCATGAAGCTCATTAGCTGTATTTCACTTTCTATTATCGTTAGCAACCTTATCTTTTTTAGAATAAACTGTTCCTTTGACAAATTTGCATGGTCATTAGCATAATGCTAATTAGTGGCTGTTCAGTTTCACTTACTGTTAACAACATTGACCATTTCTTTTGATTCTTTTCTAATTTGCATGTAATTTGCACATTTTTTTTACTGCCGACTCGTTTTAGTTCAGCGCTAAGCCTTTTCTGACTGAACTTTAATCAATGTGGATGGTCATTTGCATAATGCTAATTAGAGGCTGTTCAGTTTCACTTGGCTTTTTCTGACTGAATTGTTTCTTTAACCAATTTGCATCATGTAATTCAGTCGACTGTTAGCTTTTCTCTGACTAAACTAACCTGTGGAGCTTCAGACGAAGGAGCGCATGAATAAACATTAGCAGTGTCCACGGCGGAGAAAGACT